TATAATATAATAATAAATCAGGTTTTCAATAATGTAAATAACGATGTATATATCTACAAACCCGCTGAGCTTGATTGTGTGACTGTGGTGGAATCGACTTTAGTTGTCTGTGTTGCTCCTGCTGTCAGCACAGACACTGTAGCTGTAGTAGGGGACCCTGGGATATATGAAGAGACGGATAATATATAATAATTCGTGAACAGAAATTCATATTGCAGTGAGCAATGACAATTCTCAAGAACTTTCTGCTACTATATTCAATAAGTCCGTAGCGGTCAAATTAACAAGCTACTCATGTTCAAAATCGGGGAAACCTATTCACGAGGGCGCGAGTCAGATTTAATAGTAAACCCGCACATTTGAGTAAGTGTCTCGGACCACACACAAAAACACACGCACGTACACATACTTATATTGCTATATGTTCCGAGGACTTCATTGGATTAACTATTAATATAGTTGAATTAACTTTTAATATAGTTGGGATATGAACTCGATTAAAACGCGTCCCTATATAGGGTTGCGTTTTAATCGAGTTTAATCAAACTCAATTACAATGAAATACAATGTAGAATTGCATTTTAATTAAGTTTAATTAAACAAAACCTGATTAACCCGTGACTGAACATAGAAATGTTTGCGAGGCTTAGGTTTAGTATCGGGGTAAGGTATGGTACAATTATATTAATATTAATATAAACTGAGCCATACCTTCCCCTGATATTAAACCTAAGCTACGCAAAACGTATTAATAATCGAATTAACTATTAATATAAATTATGTTTTCCGAGAACTATAAAAATGGTCCTCGGAAGGTGTGTATGTCTTCGGAAGTTAGTATATATGTGTATTTTGGTCCTCGGAAAATATAGCAATGCAAGTACACGTACACACGAATGCACACACGCGCGCATATACAATACATACACACACACATATTACCAGAGCACAGCCCCGAACGTATGTAAATTTGCGTAAATAAAAAAAACACATATATTTTATATGTATTATAAATGACACCTGATATCGATATTACCATTTTCTTTTCATTGATAAACTGCAATAAACACTATGTTAAAGACATTTCGTTTTCGACATTGTGATTTGTTTTTCGTTTTTTGGGAGAAAAAAACTGAACAAACGGATTTTGATAAGATAATTCGGAAATTTGTATTAAGGATATTTCATAACGAAATGTATTTCCTATGCATCCATAAATAATTAATTTGCACAAAATTATCACAGAAAACATTGTTATATTCTCTATATTTGTGCCTTGTATTTGTCGTGAATTATGACTGGAAGAAGCTGAATGAAATTACAAACTATGTAGTGTGTTCAACAATTCATGTATAAATACTTTATTTTTCGGCAAAAAACGAAACAAATTCACAATGGCGAAAACAGAAAGTCTTTGCCACGGTGTTAATAGCCCATTCATTAGAAAATATATCTGTTGTGTTTAATATTATATTTTTGAAACTATTTCCTGACCAACTGTTGTCAATTGTTGGGCAAGAATGTTATCTTCTCATCAGTGAACAAGTTGTCTAGTCTAGGTAAACTGTTTTAAAATAGGAGGTTACCAAATATTCCAGTTATCTGGAACAATTACACTTAGCATATGAATACAACTGTAACTGCAACAATGGGTCAAATCACCAAAAGTGATAGAAGTATATTTTAATGATCTCTTTGTTGATGTATTCGCTTTGTTAATGACCACCTTAGCACCACCAATTTGTTTAATTTATTACAGGTGTCATACAATGTAATCGACACCGATGTTACACTTGCAAGCATGTCTTCACCACAAACACAGGTGCTTTACATATTAAATAATCTTTCCGATGTACATCCTCCAATCGTGTGCACTGCATTAAATGTACTTGTTGTGACATACTTCATTGGAGACATCAATTGGTAGATTCGCCTGCATATGCACACGATGTACGCACAATTGCATTAATATTCAGTTTATTGTATTCCCTACATAATTGCTTCGACATCATTTCCTATCCACTACTTCATTTTCATCACAACTTATCCTGCATATTTGCTCATGGGTACAAGACTAACGAAGGTTTGTACTCAAAACGTCTAACTCCTTTTTTTACTATTTCTGATGATTTGTTTTATTCCCCTTGATCGGTATTATCATTTTATTATTGCAGCAACAATAATTTTCTTACGATTTAGGGTAATTTAGGATTCTAGTCAAGTAAAATTTCGCACTATCGAAATTTGCAACAAATTAACGCCAACCGCAAAATATTTCATGTTACATTTAACACCGTTTTAACATATGTAACAAAATCATTGATTTAACTATTTATTCCCATAGCGAGGTGTGCTCTTCACATTACAGTGTTATATTTGAGAGAATATATAGAAAGAAATCATGCACTATAAATTTCAAGTAATCCAAGTGTTGTTACAGAAACCAATATTTGATTTGATACGAACAGACAGACCAGGAAACTAAATATTGACTCTGAACACTGATAATGAAATTAAAATACTGTTTTACATTACACTGACAGGTCACGTGGTGTAGACATTGAGCCGAACGTAGTGTAACAAAACAAATTATAGTCCGACATACCTTCTAAAATTGATTCTGTAATTGTTGTGGCACTTGCTGTAGTAGTCTGTTTTGCTCCTGTTTGCAGCTCGGCTACAGTAGCTGTAGTGTTGGGTCCTGTGATATATATATGGAAAGGTGTATCATTAATCATTAAAAAAGTAATTGTACTTCAGCAACTATTAATTCAGAAAATTAGAATATTTAAAACTGTATATATTTCTATGTTATTCACTGCGAACAAGTAAAATACTGCGTTCTGTCACAGGTTTTTTGTTTGATATTCTCATAAGTCGCCACAGTCTATGAGGAAGAATATCGAACATAATGAATTCGGCGACCGACCTCAAATCTTGACACGACAGTTGTGAGGAGCGGCACTTTGTGGTGTTGCATAGCATTTCAAATATATATGTGACAGTCAGGCATTTTTCCGAGTCAGGAGAATTCAAGATATAACATGTTAATGCATATCTCAACAAATAGATAAATATGCATTATATTCATTAATGCAGCACTATTTTATCTAAGGTCACAAGAGGTTTGAACTAAAGCCACGTGTTAAGATCTGAAATAATTGTATTGTTGACAATAAATGTCCCATCGTTATGTGTGGACCTAAAGAACAATGATTTGTTTTCATATGATTTTTGAACCGTTATATTGAGAACAGATATGGAAATTAAAAGAGAGTAGCTCGGGATGATGAATCTAATACAGCAGTTTGTTACCTGATTACGATTTTAAAACTTTCAGTCTTTTGGCTACTATACCGTTACATTGCTCTGAAAATTGTTGTGTTAGCCCATGATAACATTGTAATTGCCCACCACAGTTCATACTGCAAATAGCAATAATTTAATTTAAGTGGTGATTACGTGAGTAATCATGTCCCTTTTAAATTGGTAAAGTGACATCTCTTTTGTTTTGCAAATTACAATTAATTTTTGATGAGATAAATAGAAATCGTGAAATTCATCATAACAAAAGTTATCTGATCATTAGTAGGCTAACCATGGCACCTTTGTGTTGAAAACAGAATGAAAAGATTCTTTTGAATTATACTGTTAAAAGATACCGATGAGTATTTTGGTGAAAATAAAAATATAAAAGATAACGTGTGCATACCAGCTAACGTCGATTGTTTAATTGTTATGGCACTGGTTTTCGTGGTCTGCTTCGATTCCGTTGGCAACTCGGTCACTACATCCGTAGTGGTGGGTCCTGTGATAGAGGTAAATTGATACAATCAATTCGGAAACGAATACATTCAAGGACTCTCAAAACAAATAGTTATAATATTTAAAACTGTAAATAATTAACTTATTTAGTCCATCGAACAGACAACATAATGACAGTCACGTTGTGATCGATAAATTGTATTTAGTCATTTGTCTGTGAGACTCTCAGATAAAATATTAGTGTCGTTCACAATCTGCGATTATTTAAAATGGGAAATAGTACTTGTTAACTTATAATGCTGGTATGTGGGGGAGAGGCGATTAGTAAGCTTTCTTTTCTTTTAAAAATAATATTAAAGCGAAGTTGATTGCTTAGATACATGAATTTAACCCGTTTGCAGTTCAAAGTAATGAACATAGTCATAACAAATTATTATTGTTAATAACAAAGAAAGAACGGAACATAGATATAGCATAGTCAGAAACATTTCAATTGAACTGTAAACGTAATACTAATTATCTATCTATCTATGAGAATGCCGTAACTGGGTGATACTTTTTTCACCAATAATTCATATTTTTTTTCACGTTCATTTTTTTTAAAGAAAATGCTTTGTCACAAAATAATATCTATTGCAAGTGCCAAAGATGAAATCATGAAGAAAGAAAGCGGACAAAAAACAAACAAAACAAATAGTTTTTTATCGGGGACACATTTCAATGAACTTTATTACGGACAATGCATGACGCAAATTCCAAGAAAAATTTCGCAGTGCGCTCTCGCAATCGGATATTTAGTAATTTTTACAATGTTCCCAATTTTTGTTGCCATGTGGTAATTATGTAAACTATGACTGTCCAGTGTGTGAGAACTTGTGTTTCTATACCTTGGCTTTTGAATCATATACGCTAAATTACGGGTTTGAATGAGACAACAGGGTGCGAATGCTTTTTTTATTCAAACCCTTTTGAAATTATCAATACATATTTCTTATTGTTTATATGATATATATATATATATATATATATATATATATCCCCTACTTTTATAATCAACTTACCTATTATATTATAGTTAATACAAATTGTAAGATAATCAGGGTAAAAAAGGTTTTCTAAAATGTATATACCAAAGCATGTATTAACTTACCCGCTGAGCTTGATTGTGTGACTGTGGTGGAATCTACTTTAGTTGTCTGTGTTGCTCCCGCTGTCAGCACAGACACTGTAGCTGTAGTAGGGGATCATGGGATATATAATAATTCGTGAACAAAAATTTATGTTATAGTGAGCAATGACAATTCTCAAAAACTATATTATTAACTATACTTTCGCTGATGTAAAGTTCATAATAAAAGACTGGCCAATAATATTGATATGACACAGTCTCCATATACAAAGGTCATAAATGCCATATTTGCCTGATTTTAATGATTGTTTTTTTTAAAGAGCACGCAATATGACCGCCTTCAATTAAATTGCGAAAAACAATTATGTCCCCCCGTATGTACCAAACCAAATTTAATAAAACAGAATTGCTATCAGGCACTGAAATGGCCTATTATTCATCTTTGAATCAGATCACGAAATGGATACAAGTGCTTAAATATCCCAGATGATAGGATGTGTATGTGAAGCCTGAAAATGTGTGATATCTGAACACAATCGGTTAAGATAACAATGATCGCTAGTGTGACAATTTTCAATTTTATCAGCAAATAATTACCAAGGTTTCGAAATAATGCAAATAATGTATACATCTACATACCAGCTGAGGTTGATTGTATGAACGTTGTAGAATCGTCTTCAGTTGCCTGTTTCGTCTCCGTTGGCAACACAGACATTGTGGCTGTATTTGTTGGCTCTGAGATATGAGAAAATTGAAGTCAAAATTATATAACCAATATATACTTATGTATTCTATTTAGGTTAGTTAACAAAACGAGTTTGTTAAACTGAAACTTAGCACAGTGCTTATCCAGATACTACTTACCACATGGGCAGAAGAATCTGACTTCATAGTTTGGGCACTGCTTTGATTGTTGTTGCTCATTAAAGCACAGTAAACCTACATCCGGTTCACACGTTATTCTACCCTGGCCACTAGTTTCATCATATGGAGACTCTGACCCTATAACTCTGCACTCGATACTGACAGGGTTCACACATAAATCATGAATAGTTCGTATCATCCCCACTAATTCATAGTCACCTTCTGTATCGGGATCGTTAGTGTTGAACCAAGTTGTCCATTTACCATCTGGACATAGGTTAGACGATGTCTGAGCTATTGTTGTTACTTCATGGGATACTGTAATAAAATACAAACATATCTTGATAAAAAATAAAACGTAGGCATACTACGAAGATAAGAAACAACAGCAACGAATTGCTAACTACATCCGGGCATTTTCATTGAATACAGTCCCTATGGTATATATTTTCCAAGATCGATGTAATTCCTCGCGTTCTTTTACTATGGGCCACTTCGAACTTAGAATGGGCCTTACACATTTAAGCCAAAGTATTCAGACAGCAAATTCTTGGTTTGCCTGATCTAGATTCTGAGTCTAGCATGATTCCTATACATCCGACGAACAATGCCATTACTGCGATATTATTCACGGCAGTTCTTTTTCTGGTTAAGCCAATAATGTCATGTCTTTGTTAAAGATGTCCAGACTGCCCCACATTATCACTGAATTAGCGAATGTGTTGCTGTTATTAGAATATTTGTCTAACAACTTCCCAATTGATAACACTTGTATGAAACTAGACTTATAAATCATTTACATGCATCGTAGAGAGAATAGAAAGAAGACCTACAATGTTGCTGAAAGTATGTCAAACAGGTTAATTTTTTTTACTAATTATAATGATAAAATTATATAGTCAACAGCATTATTGTATTGTTAGGCATAAAATCTCTGCTTTCATGACCAACTCAGGACGATTTTGTTGACTACAATGTTTATATTTGCTCTCTCCTTGTTGCAGATTGTTATCATTTTCAAAATATTCTTGGTTAAAATGTTACTTTTAAGTTTTGGTTACAGGTCAAATGTCAAACCACATTTAGTGTAAATGTTCGAGTAGTCATAAAGAAGATCAATAACAAACTAGGACACATGAAGCGTCATATAACTAATAATTGACGTGTCTTAGGATCTGTCTAATTGATGTTTTAGTACACAAATTACTTAGATCGCAATTTCACATTTCTCAAGAATATGCTATGCGCATATTGCTAGAAGCTGTCACTCTGTTTCTAGGCAACATGCAGACTACTGCCCCAAAATTTAATTATAAGTTATTAACATCTGACATTGTTTAATTGGCATGGTATGTACAACTGAAAGCGGCTATAGTCGTATTCACACCAATCACGGGTTAGGATTTAAGTTAATCTCACATGTTTGCATGCCGACTAGACCCAATTGTTTTCACGCATAGAAGGAAACATCAGTTATCACATGCTATGGAATAACCAAACTTATATATAACAATCTGCCGTCATTTTAACTATGATTACACAGTACTGTAACCGCGAAGTTGTAGATGTTAATTCTACTGTTGTAAAACAGTACCAAAGCAAATTCTGAAAGTACAGACTGCAGAATAATAGGAAGTAATATAGCGTCTCATTGACTTTTTAGTCCATGTTAAGGAGCTCATATCTCATATTCAAAACTAGATGAATTATAGTGTCTAAACAAAAAAACAAAATTAGTACAAGGTACCACTGCTGTGTTGTGCACGATTTTGGTCTTTAAGGACGCTTAGAATTTTGAAGTTCACTGACACCATTGACCTTAACAAATGTAAAAAAAAATCCTTCTTAAGAAATTCCGACTTCCTGTGTTCAATGTAAGTTATAATCTCCAGTACAGTTAATCCCATTAATGATTATATCTTGTATAAATTAACCTGGTCACTGTGCACCACAATTCTTGCATTCATTTTGAGTTTAACCAATATAAGGTGTATGAAAATTGACAAGATGGTGGCAACTATGTGAAGTACGATATTTAGATCATTACATTTTATTAAATTTTCATTATTTAAACAAAATAGCCAACAATGGTTAATTCCTTTAAATCAAACGATTATATCAGTAGTTTGGAGAACAAACTGTTAAAGAATCTGAATATCAGGATAGGAGTCAGCATTATGCATTGAGAACGATTGAAGGCAAGTGAAAATTCGCATAACAACGCGTAACACAAAATTCAAACTCGCGCATACACCGAACGCGTTAACCACTCATCTAAGAAGGCTAACACGTCAGCTGCAACGCTTTCAGAAATACACTCCACAGTAACTGGGTGTGGTTTAATATATACCAATACAAATCAAAATTTTAACATTTAAGTCCATCATTGTTGTCATTCGTTAGATTTTAATATTCAGTGACCATTTTAAAAATACATTTAAAAACGATTTGTATAAACTTGTCTTGCACACAGAGTTGAATAAAGGTTAACGTTCCTGGTATTTAGAAGGAACGTGTAGTAGCTCAAATTCGTTCAGATGCACAACTTTAGCTGTTTGTGTTTGTAGAAATGGAAGTAGCATTGAGTGTCCAATGTTCAAATCTATGCAAATTATATAATAGAATGCTCAATAACCCATTCAAAATACACGTAAAAAGATATATGTTTATTGCAAATAAGGGAAATAATAGTTTGTGGAGATATTTTAAGTGCAGATGTGTGTATGTTGTTGACAAAATTAATTAAATTAAGCAACCTATTTCAGTTTTCTCCCCTGTCGTCGTTGGTTTCATTTCTTTGGTTGTCGGCACAGGAGATACGTATACACTCGTGATATGGACTTCTACAAGCGGAGATATTTGAGAGTTGAATTATGTATTTTTAATAGTGAACTCACGTGTGATGCTGAGAGTGCAGATATTTGTACACAACAGATAAACACATTGTTGCAGGAATAACAAATTGCCCTTCACATATATTACTTTTGTGTAGTTTAACCGATATTATATTATACCAGTATATTGATGGTGTTAATCCATTGATTTGATTGATCCAAACACAAAATTTGCATATGCAATCCA